TCCTTCAGTGAAATTATGTGAATACTCAGCAATAGTCATATCAGACCATGCCCCCCTTTTATTAGACTTGGAATTGCTTCCTAAAAGTGGACAGCGCTCAAATTGGAGATTGAATACAGGGTTATTATCTTCTAATAAATTCTGCGAATTTATTTCTGAGAAAATTAGGCTCTTTATCCTAAATAACAAATCTGACTCGACTTCTCCTTCCCTCCTGTGGGAAACCTGTAAAGCAGTAATTCGCAGTGAAATTATCTCTTACAGTGCCAGGGAACATAAGCAGCGAATACAGAGACAACTTGAGCTGATGGAAGCAATTCTACAAATTGACAGACAGAACCCCTCTTCTCCTAGTCCCGCTCTTCAGACGGAGAGACTCAAGCTCCAAACTGAATTTGATCTTATTTCCACAAACAAAGCAGAGTTTGTTTTAAGGCGCACAAAGAGTACCTATTATGAATATGGGGACAAGGCCAGCCGACTGCTAGCGTTACAACTAAAGCATCAATCTGCCTCACGTTTTATTACACAAATTCGCAAATCCCCCCATACAATAGTTACAGACCCAAAGGAGATAAATAATGTTTTCGCTTCGTACTATTCTAATCTTTACCAATCAGAGGCTCCACCTGACAACATCTTAATGAAACAATTTTTGGATAATTTGGACTTCCCTATGATCAACGAAACAAGTAAAAGGAATCTAGATGCTCCACTCAGTTTAAAGGAGGTTACAGACAGTCTCAAATTAATACAGAATGGCAAGGCACCGGGCCCGGACGGCTTCCCAGCTGACTTTTTAAAGAATTTCTCTGATCAACTGGCTCCCTTGCTATTGGATATGTTCAACGACTCCTTAGAGCGTGGTTCCCTTCCTCCATCCGTAACTCAAGCATCAATTTCACTAATTCCAAAGAAAAACAAAGATCCAGCAGAATGTAGCAGCTGGAGACCTATTAGTTTGCTCAACTCTGACATAAAGCTATTGGCTAAGACCCTGGCTAGCCGTCTGGACCCCTGTCTACCAAACATTATTTCGGGTGATCAAACTGGCTTCATAAAGGGTAGACAGTTGTCCTCAAATATTCGTCGCCTCCTTAATATTATAATGTCTAAGTCTAGCACATAAGAGGCTGAAATGGTAATCTCTATGGATGCGGAGAAGGCTTTTGACCGAGTGGAGTGGGGTTATTTATTTTCAGCTCTTGACAAGTTTGGTTTTGGTCAAAGATATATTTCATGGATTCAATTGTTGTATAGTGCTCCTACAGCTAGTGTGACTACCAACTCCACTCAATCCAAATGTTTCCCTTTACAACGCGGTTGCCGCCAAGGCTGTCCCCTGTCGCCTTTACTGTTTGCTATTGCAATCGAGCCACTTTCCATCATTCTTAGAAATTCACCAGCTTTTAAAGGTATCTATAGGAATGGGGTTGAACACAGGGTTTCGCTGTACGCGGATGATTAGCTGCTCTATGTCTCGAACCCTACGGCCAGTATTAATGGGATTCTTGACGTTTTACAAACGTTTGGTTCCTTTTCAGGATACAAGTTGAACATCAGTAAGAGCGAATGCTTCCCTCTTAATCTTGCGACAAAACAGATTCCGGCCCAGAGGCTGCCTTTTCATTTGGCCTCCTCTAGTTTCCGTTACCTGGGCATTAATATTTCGCATAGTCTCCACTCACTTCATAAGCATAACGTTTTGAAGTTGGTGAAGGAGGTTAAATCTGACCTACTGCGCTGGAACTCTCTCCCTCTGTCGCTTGTAGGTAGTATCAACTCAATCAAAATGAATGTGCTTCCCAGATTCTCATTTCTTTTTCAATGTTTACCATTATTCCTCCCCAAATCTTTTTTTAAGGACTTAGACAAGACTATTTCATCTTTTATTTGGGCAGGAAAGACCCCAAGGGTAAAATATTCTGTCCTTCAAAGGACTAAAGAAGGTGGCGGCCTTGCTCTACCTAACCTTCTGGCATACTATTGGGCGGCCAATATTCAAAAGATTCACACTTGGCACAACTCCCCCATTACAGACTGGTGCCAGATGGAAGCGCGGTCTTGTGGCTCTATCTCTTTATCGGCGTTAATTTGTGCCCCCTTAAAATCATATCCTGCTAAATGCGTATCCAACCCAATTGTACAATCTACTGTAAAGATTTGGAGGCAATTTAGACGCCACTTTAAAATTGTTTCCCTTTCCCTGCTAATGCCCATTTGTAATAATCATATTTTTCGTCCTTCATCTCTTGACCCAGTTTTCTCTTTGTGGAAGGAGAAAGGTTTGGTTTATTTCAAACAACTTTTTGTTGATAACATTTTTGTCTCCTTTGATACTCTCAAGATTAAATTTGACCTTCCAAACTCTCAGTTATTTAGATATTTTCAAATCCGAGACTTTGCTCGTTGTAACTTCCCCAATTTTCCTCATCAACCACCTGATTCTCTCATTGATACAATTCTATTGTCCCCTGTAGTCCGTGGAGTCATTTCAGCCGTGGGGAAGTTAATCTTATCAGCATTATCGTCTCCTTTAGCGACTAGGAACATCTGGGAGAAGGAGCTTGGGGTTACCTTTTCAGATGAATGGTGGCAGGGGGCCCTAGACAGAGTCAACTCTACTTCATCTTGCGCCAGACTGACACTGATACAGTTTAAGGTCCTACACAGATCACACCTGACCAAAGTTAGACTTAGCAAACTGTTTGACACAAGTGAGATGTGTGATAGATGCTCTCTCTCTCCGGCCAACCACACACACATGTTTTTCTCCTGTCCAAAGCTGGGTTCATTCTGGTCCTCTTTTTATGATACACTCTCGAAGGCCTTCAATAAGCCGGTGGTTCCTAGCCCTTCAATTTCTATTTTTGGTGTCCCTGAGGAGTTCTCTAGTTTCACTAACAAGGAGAACAATGTTATTGCTTTTGCTTCACTTATAGCCCGCAGACGTATTTTACTGCAGTGGAAGGACCAGAAACCTCCATCTTCTCAGTCGTGGTTGAAAGACTTAATGTCTTTCTTATACTTAGAGAAGATTAAGTACAGTATAAGGGGATGCTCTGATAAATTTAGCAAAACCTGGGATCCTATTCTCTCTTTTGTTAATTCTATTCCTTCTTTAGGGGATTAGATAATCCTATTACTCATTAAAGTACGCCGTAGCTACTATTTTGAGACTGGACGGTTAAGTGATTGTCTCCTTTGGCGTGTGAATGGTCATGCAGCCCAATGTGCATTGTGCAACACAGTGTTTCTTTGTATTTCTGTGCTTTTATGATATCCTCTTGTATTTTTTATTTACTTATTCTTGCTCCTCTTTCATATCGTATTGTGACACTTTTCGGTTTTGTTTTGTAGGGGGTGGGGGGATGGTTACTATGCCATATTTGTTGTAAAAAAATGTAAAATCGGGTGATCTTATGTCAACAGTTTGTATGCTTAAAATTGATGGCCCAATAAAAATACTTGTGAAAAAAAATAAATAAAAAAATTGTATATTGATTCTGACTCTTCTACATCCAACTCACAGGTTTATCATTGCTTTGAGAAAAAATATTACTAATTTACCCCTTTTAGAAGTGAAGATATAGTCATTTGTTCTGGGAATGTCATTTTCGAGCCTGAGGCCTGAAAAACAGGCTCGGGGCTTGCAATCCCATACCTATGATATTTACAGACAGTGAGCTGTGGAAATATTACAGTGTGCAGATATGCACGTCTCATTGTGCGCACAGTGGATTTCACTATTTGATGTAAGAAAATATTGTATTGATGATGAAAAATGACAAACTAATGCTTTTTACGACCAGAGAGGTAACAAAACTAAGTGGAAATTAGCAATCCTTTTCACATAGACTTCTATACAATTAGACATATTTGTGCCACAAATGGAGCCTCCCTCTGCTACATATTAAGGGAATGCAAGTCTAAGGCCCCGGCTCCACGAGGACAAATACGGTAAAACGCATCGGAGTAACGCAAATGCAACCGCAAAAAACCTTCCGTCCCCACGCAATATACACCGGATTGTGTCAAGCTCCACGAGACGGCTCCGTTTACATCCAAACGCTGGAAAAGCTGCAGTACATATGCCGAACCTGTACGTGGCGCTGTAACTTCCTCCACAAAAGCAGCAACTTCCTCCACAAAAGCAGCGAAGAAGAATGGTTGTCATGGCTGCACTTCTGTGTATTCTCCGCGGTGGGGGCCGACAGAACCGGGCAGAGTTTTTCGCCGGTCAGCGTGTGTTAAAGTTTAAATCTTCCGGACAAAATTATAAAAGTGCCGGTCAAAGGTCTTCATTGTTATTTATTGAGCTTTAAAACAAATGAATAACGACGATATAATGATATATAATCATCAAATACACGGAGCCTGTCTCTTTTTCCTCTCTTCTGACAGCGTCAGTGTCTGTCTCATGCAGCAGCTGATCCTGTAATGAGTGACCCGACAGTAAAAATGAACATATTTATAACTAGTTTAGGTAGTTTGAGAGGTAATTAAAATAGCTAAGGGTGATGATCTGACTTGAAGTGTGTGTTTTGCTCCCGCTGCATCACAGCGGCAGGAGCTGCGTGTCTCCGTCCTGTCAGATTAGACTTCACTCGCGTTTATGTCCATATCGAGATAAAGATAAATAATCTGAATTCAAGGAGGAGCTCCTGTAGATGTTGCACAAAGAACTGTAGCATGGTCAGTAGCGACTGGAGCACGATAGCAACCCTGCGAGGGAGAGGCGGGGCTATGAAAACGAATGACCGTATAGGCGACTCCACGGCTCCGTTGGACCCCCCAGAGCGCTCCGTTCCCAGATCTATCCACCTTTGGACCCGTTGTCGTTTGCGGGGTCTGTTTCTACGTTTCCCTTACGGCGTCGTCGAGCTTAGAGGGCTATACGCATGAGAAATATGCGGATTCAACCCGTTTTCGTCCTCGTGGAGCCGGGGCCTAAGGCAACATAGACATCATTTTGACACGTTTTCTCCTTGTCCCCTTACTTGCGAAAGAGCTCCTCCTCCTTGGGCTTGAGAAAGCGGGTTTTTGTAATGTCCACCCTCAAGTGACGGACCCTGGTTTCACAGCTCAGTTTCTTTGGCTTGAAGCAGAACCAAGGCTCGCCTGTACGAAGGTCGGTGAAGTTGCAGAGCGGCAGGGGGGTGGGCTGCAGGCAGACCCCACACATGGTGGTGTCAGAAACTGCTCCTGAACGGAAGATGCTCTTAAAAGCAGTCCTGTAAGGATGCTCCCTGGTCAGCCTCTGCAGCACAGCGATGGCCTCAGCAGAATGAACCATTGTTACCTGAGTGGGCAGAGAACCAGTCAATACTGCGGTTATAGTTACTGTTGAGATCTCCATATTAGGTTGAATACTTAAAACAAAAGTTAATTATAATCAATTATATTCTTGTATAACCCACAATGAAAATGCTTCATATTTTATGATTTTCTATATTTACAGTATAAACAAAACACAAGTGGTTTATTAAATTGAGTGTAAGGCCTATAATGGTTTATGGGTGTCACTGATAAGAGAGGAGAGACAGTTTCTTCCCTCTCCCCTCACAGCAGTACACAGGGAGGGGGGCTCCTGACTTAAGGAGAAATACACTGAGGCCCCAAAAAGGTGGTTATGTCATAGCCGAGAATAATATTTTGCAAGTCCTGCACACTTGAGGTCATGAACTTTTGTTACATAAGCCTGGGAAGGTGTGTCTCATGACATAGCCATATAATATGTCTGGTCATGTCCAGTCCTGTACATCAGAGGCCATGCCCAGTTTCCACAAATATGGGTATGGAGGAGGTGTCTTTAGGTTTTTCTATCCTGTTTTTGAGCATAAAGTCACTGGCGGAGAGGGAGCAAACTAGAGAGAGAGAGGGGGGGTTCCCCTGGTATACTCTCTCCCGGTAAAGCACTCTCCCTGGAGAGCTGGGTTTTTGCCTCGGTAAGGTTCTCTCAAACTTGGTAACTATTGTTTCAATCTCTGTGTATTGAATGCTGAGTGAATGGTTGGATGAAAGTTTAAAAACTAGAATTCTAACTGATCATTCAGAGGAGCTGCCTCTTAAATGTGTCAGGCTATAGGCTGTGAATGTTAGAACCTTCGATCCGTGAGGAGATCCCTCTGGGTTATGTCGGAATTCAATCTGAACATTTTGAGGAACTGACCTCTGAATGTGTCAGGCCAGAGTGTGGATGTTAACCCTGTCGATCTGTGAGGAAATTCCTTTTGGATTTTGTCGGAAGACTTTAATGTGTAAACTATGAATTAAGGTTTTAGATTAGAAAATAACCCCAGCATGATATGTTTAGTATGATTATAATGTTGTAACGAGAGAAGGTAAAAACCCTGTATACGCTTTGGACCTATTTTTCTTCAAATAAACTGATCCCACCTTTTGGATTGGGACAACTTAAAAGACATCTGCGCTCTCTTCTCCTGCTTCAAAGGTAAGATTGCACACTGCCACACTCACACTTAGTATAGGGCCACACCTCATTTACTGATATCAAAATCCTTCGGGATCGCTTAAACAGATTTAGAGGGTCGTCTGAATTGAAACAGCAGTTAATAGAACCTGGTTCTTCAGGAGTTAATAGAGGTGAGATCTTGCTGACGTTGGTGGATCTGAGCCAAGCAGTAAACGTACATAGACTCAATAACTTCTGTTAGGTTAATTAGTAGGTCTGCGTAATTTTCCGGAATAAATTATCAGCCCCTCCCGACTCCTACATTACCTATAGATGTTCTCCAAATTAAAAACAAACATCCTGAATTTGAACACACACACACACACACACACACACACACACACACACACACACCACACACAAACACACACACACACACACACACACAACACACACACACACCACACACACACACACACACACACACACACACACACACACACACACACACACACACACACACACACACACACACACACACACACACACACACACACACACACACACACACACACACCAGCTACACACACACACACACACACACCCACACAACACCCACACACACACACACACACACACACACAACACACACACACACACACACACACAACACACACACACACACACACACACACACACACTTTGTGTTATGCTGTTGTGCCAAATGTATTGTTGGACATTTATGTTTAGTGTTGATTTTAGTTTGTTCCGTTATAACGCCTTGTGCGGAATGCTTTGCCTACTAGTTTACGAGTGTGGTCATGCCAATAAAGCCCCTTTGATAAAGAGATAACACTGAGGTAATGTTTTTGGCAGAACGTATAAAAGTTAGCGCTGAGCTTCAGTCTGCAATGTTCAAAACAACAGATGAAGCCAGAATCTTGGATGTAGTCATGGACTCTGACCTGAGTTTCAACAGTCATATTAAAACAGTTACTAAATCAGCCTACTATCACCTAAAGAACATATCTAGGATTAAAAGACTAATGTCACAGCAGGATTTGGAAAAACTTGTCCATGCTTTTATCTTCAGTAGACTCGACTACTGTAATGGTGTCTTCACAGGTCTCACTAAAAAATCTATTAGAAAGCTGCAGATAATTCAGAACGCCGCTGCTCGAGTCCTCACCAACACTAAGAAAGTGGATCACATCACTCCTGTTCTGAAGTCCTTACACTGGCTTCCTGTGTGTCAAATAAATGATTTCAAAATACTGCTGCTGGTTTATAAAGCACTGAATGGTTTAGGCCCAAAATACATTTCTGACCTACTGCTAAATTATGAACCATCCAGAACTCTCAGGTCTTCAGGGATTGGTCAGCTTTCTGTCCCCAGAGTCAGAACTAAACATGGAGAAGCAGCGTTCAGTTATTATGCTCCAAATATCTGGAACAAACTCCCAGAAACCTGCAGGTCTGCTGCAACTCTTACTACTTTTAAATCCAGGCTGAAGACTGTTCTTTTTGCCGCTGCTTTTAATTGATATATTCATATCTTAAACTGCACTGTAACTTTTATTATCTTTGCTTTTTATCTTTGCTTTGAAATGAGTGTTTTTAAATGTCATTTTATATCATTGCTTTTAGATGAATGTTTCTAGATATCATTTTATAATATGTTTCTTAATGCTCTTAATGACTTTCATTTTTGTAAAGCACTTTGAATTGCCTTGTGTTGAAAGGTGCTATATAAATAAACTTGCCTTGCCTTTGTATTTTATTGTATTGTTTTCATGACATTTGACCTATTAGCAATTCTGATTACAGATATCTAGAATCCATTTGTCACTAGCGAAAATGTTGGTTCTTGATATCATCAATTGACTTATTACTATTGGAAGTGTTCAATGTAGATATCTGTAGGTTAAATACATCAACAGGTACGTTTCCCTGGGACACTTAGCTTTATTATTTTACTTAACTACTCTACTATAATTTAAGTAGCCGTAAAGTGCACATTTGAAGTTATTCTATGTTGGCCGAGTGATATAATTGGATTGGCTTATTATGGCGCATTTCCACTGCAGGGCCTCGCACGGCTTAGTACGGTATAGTTAGGCCTTGGTAGGCAAGGCTCACTTTACGCTGCGTTTCCATTACAGTTTAGTAGCTGGGGCAGTAACTATAGTAACGCAGTGTAGGCGGAGCCGTGACGTCATCTTCAATGCAAAACACAAAACCAACATCAGCCGTTAGCTGTTAACATTCAGAGCTCACAGCTCCTCATATCTGTTCAGAAACTAGACAAAAGTTAAACAAGTACAAACCACAGACTGTCTGTGTCATGGCGAGTACAGTCGCTGGTTTATTTATGTCTGTATAGGCCGTTGTTGTGAGTGTGGACGGTCGGAGCATATACAACGTTAGCTTAGCCGATCTCCATTCAGAAAACACGCATTTTAAAAGGTTTTTCGCCTGCCGTCTGTCTGCAGACTTGTCAAAGCATTATTTCATGGTTTTTACTAACCGGTATCAGTATGTTGTTACTTCGGCATCATTTTGAAACGTGTATTACAATTAAATCACGGTAAAATATGTTAATTTTGTTGTAGTTGTAGCCCCCTTGCCAGCGATTCTCTCACTAGTTTAGCATACTCAGCCCGGTTGTTGGCCCGGAAAGAACCTGGATTTTGGAGAGCCAGAAAAACTGTGAAACAGTACCCGTTAGCCGGAACTACCCCTAGTGGAAACGCAACAAAAAACGGGCCGGGTTTGGCACGGCACGCTTAAACCGTGCTATGTGCTGCAGTGGAAATGCGCCATTTCAGGCCTGCAACGGATTTTTTTCCTCTTTTTAGAATTATTTTATTTCGATTGCTGATTGGTTTAAAAAAAAAAAAAAAATTGTAAATTAAATTGCCTACACCAGCTTTTAGACTCATTTTACAGAGCTCTCACAGAATTCAGCTGACAAAAAAAGTCATTGCAACTCTTGGAGCTAATGTTACTATGGATTACTTCAGTTGCTTTAACCCCATTCCCCTGCGGGCGGGGGAAAAATCGCAACATCTGCAAGAAACAGCGTCTGAGGGCTTCTTAACATTTAACAAACTATAAATGTGTCATACCCACTTAACGGGAAGAAACTCAGCTATCAGACAATATTAACAATTTTTTGCAAAACGAAACATAAGGGTAATAACAAAGGCTCTGAATTAGCCCTGAGTGGAAAAATGCTAACGCACTTAGCACAGAACTCACGGTAAAATACCCTTATTACTTATCGGATCTGCACAAACAAGATATCGATTAGCAAGCTGAGATTCCACAGATTCTACAGGTATTAGTATCATTCCTGACCGATCTGAACTCGCGACATGAGAAGCTAACACAGACATCACACCACGTAGCATTAGGTAGCCAACACGGCAATATGTCTTACCTTTGTTGTTTTCTGATCAAAAGTTGTCTTCAATGGCATTACAACGATAAAAACGCTGCTGAAGGTTAATCCATAGGTTAATCCAATGTGTCTGAGTCACTTTGAAATGATTTCTGATAATCCATCAGCAATCAACCTAGTTTTCAGATTTCAGAGCATAAGATAGGTTTCGCTTTGGGCAAACTGCGTGTGCATAGCTCTGACTTCTCAATGGTAACGTGTGTGTGTATGTGGAAAATCCCCTTCGATTCTATTGGCTCTAACGGTTCAAAAGAGATGTCAATCATCAAAATTGATCCATGGGTTCCAGAGAAACGGCAAATACACCCATTTCCACCCAAATGACCCCAGAGGTGTTTTTTTTTTTGCTAAACCTCTCTAAAAAGGTAGAATGTCACTTGTTTTGCATCAATCTTGATACAGGGTACTTATTATATGTTATAGTTTGGATTCCTAAAGCTTTTAGTCTACTATCCCATCATTCAAGGGTGGTTTTCACTATAAGTAATGGCTTATTTTTGGACGGACACAATCATTTACATTTCTTTACTATGTTCAATCTGAATATACTTTAAAATAAAAAAAATCTATATTGATTCTGACCTTTCTACATCCAACTCACAGGTTTATCATTGCTTTGAGAAAAAAGATGATTAATTTACCCCTTTTAGAAGGGAAGATATAGTAATTTGTTCTGGGAATGTCATTTTCGAGCCTGAGACCTGAAAAACAGGTTAAAGGGGGAAAAAACCCTACTGTTTCTAAAAAGACCAACTTATTCTGAGGTTTAATCTGCCACCATTGTCATTCAAAGCAGCAGTAACCAAAGAAAGCGGGACTTCACAAACAGCTCAGTTCCAAGACAGATTAAAATGTACGGTACAATTACATTTAATATAATGGTGTCTAGCATTACCTCAACCACTGCATCTCCTTCCCAGACCAATGAGAATACAGCGGAGTAGCTCCCATTGAGATGATCCACCACTTTTCCAACCACGCCCGCTTGAAGCTTGGAGTTTTTCAGCCGTGCGAGTAAGAAGGCTCCCCCCGAAGTCTTGGGGCGGCCTTTGAAGTCAGACATTTTGATCATGACCCTCAGCTGATCCCCTATCTGCCACTGTCCTCCTCCTCTCCTTGGTAAGATGGTAAAGGAGCTATGAGCTGGATCACAGGTGGTCTCTATGGATATAGGAGTGGGCCAAGGTGGGATTTCCGGCCAAGCAATGGATTCCAGTATGAGGCGTTCCTCTTCAGCCTCCTTAGGGGGCAGTTGCTTAAAGGTGCACACGCCCTGTTGCATTTTCGAGCCATTGGTAACTGTCAATATGCTTGTGGGGCTAACTTGTTGCTGAATTTGGCAGAAAGTCAAGAGAGAGATGGTGTCAGAAGCACATTAACTAAAAAGAGTATAAATACAATTGGATAAAGACATATCTGTTTTTTAAATTTTTGTTTTATTTGTATCTATGCACCAAATCAGATTCCTCGTATGTGTTAACCTACCTGGTAGTAAACATGTTTCTGATTCTGATTTTGAAAACAATATCCGTAATTCTGACGATCATAGTTCTGATTTTGAAAACAATTTAGAATTTTCTGATTTTGAAAACAATATCCGGACTTCGGACGATCATAAACAGTTCTAGTATAGCAGACACATTCCTTACCTTTCTGAGCTCAATGAACTTGTTGTTCTGTAGCGCAAAAAATATGAAAGCAAAAACCACTATGAAAAAGAAGGCCAAGCACTGCCTTCTGGAAAAAAAGTGCATGATAGTCAGATTATTGTTCCACGGCAGCCTCCATCTGTTATATATTCCTCCGCAAACTAAAACACGAACCGATGACATGGCCTGCTCAGCGGCTTTCTCCTGTTCTGAGCACAGAGAAAAAAAGTCAGATATGATTACGGCCTCCTCCTGCACGGTATGATCTCGTTCACATTGTGAGGCACATTGGAAGAAATAAGCATGGGTGCAGAAACAGGTTCACCCAGTTTGAAGTGTGACGTATATTGTTGACTTGCTCCCTTTCCTTTTGTATCTTTATGATCATGTTGTTTGGTGGGTTTTAGGAATGCAGAATGACTAGTTAAAAGTACACATGTCAATATGTATTTTAGGCTTGTGCAACCTTTAGCCAATAACCAAAAAGGTAACACCTGCCCACTTTATCACCTGAATCTCCTCCAAGAGCACCATTAGCCGCGTTCACACCGCATACTTTGCAGTACTCAGTGCCCCGGCACTTATTACCCCAGGGCACTAAGTACCAATCGCGTTCACACCGGAGTACTTTTTCCTGAGGGAAGATTATGCAAATGACCAGCTGACGTCACTTCGTCTTCTTCTGCTTTGGGTTTACTGGCAACTTCACGGCGTATACTGCCACCCGAAGTCCCCGGCCGGAAGTCCCCGGAGTTGGGGACTGGCTTCAGTAGAAGCTGCTGGGACTCCCAGCAGCTTCTACTGAAGCCAGTCCCCAACTTGAAGTCCGCAAACAACGTGAAGTTGTTTGCGGCCTGCCAGTAAACCCAAAGCAGAAGAAGAAGAAGTGACGGCAGCGGCTTCATTTGCCTAATCCACCCTCAGGAACTCATTGCGGTGTGAACGCGATCTGCTTTAGTTCATCAGAACTAAAAGAGTTCTCATGAACTGAGTTCTCATGAACTATTGTGGGAAAAGAAGTTGGTGTGAACGCCCCTATAGGCGGCTTCACAAAACTTTTCAGAGTTTTACGGGGCGTGGTTTGCAATTCGCCCAGCCAATCAGAACTGGGGCACTTTTTCCCCCCAGGATAGTACCACCTCTCTAGCAGGCACTGAAAATGGGGGTAAAAGTTCCCGGCACTAAGTACTCTTTTTGGTGTGAACGCAACATAAGGGGTACTAACGGAACTAAAGGGGAAAGGTACGGGGAAAAGTACTCCGGTGTGAACGCGGCTATTGTGTTATTTTTAAAGCCAACACTTCGCAGAGGGGCGTGGGGAGTGGTAGCTTATTTGCATTTTAGCTGCAGACACAGACTCAGCACGTTTGAAACAGGGCTGAAACAGAGAGGATTATGGGATGCTACAATGATCTGTTTGGTATTTCGAGCCAAACACTTCAGAGACATGTATGTAATATATATATCCTAAAATGTGTTTTTGAAAAAGAGTGTAATAGAGGACCTTTCAATTGTACTTTATACTTCTATTCCACTACATTTCAGTGGTGAATATGGTACTTTTTACTCCACTATATTTATTTGTTTACTCACAGTTACTTTGTAAACATAACACATATTTGCTGATATGCTATAATGTTCTACTAATCTACATAGTATCTACATTTCCTCCACATTGACAAACGACCATACTGAAATGCTCTTACATGTATAAAAACTGGATAAAATAATAAGCATAATAATAAAGAAATACTGTGAAAAGATCCATTCTGCATAAAGAGTGCTTTTACTTTAAATCCTTGAGCTGATAATACTTCTGTACTTTTGTATACTATGAGTTTATTTTTGATGCTATTACTTTTGCACTTTTACTTAAGTAGAATTTTAACATCATGACTTTTACTTGTAGTGGAGTACTTCTTCCAACACTGCATATTTTTTACTTTTTCTCCCCATTTTCAACGTGCCGAGACACTGCACCCTGGGACAAATTATCTGCTGATTTACAGACGTCTCTTTCCCATTGTAAGTCAATGTAATACTTGGTAATACTCAAAAAGAGTAAAAATGTTTTAACAAAATGAGTTACTAGTTATTAACATATTAAAATGATAAGATAGTACATCATGAACATAACATAAACATAAACTACAATGTAAAGTTATAGGTTAAGATATCAAGCAACAGTATGTAAAGTACTCAAATTAGCTCATTAATGCATGATTGATTCTAATTCAGTAAATTGATATATATGATTCTAAAATGGGACATTACTTTGGGTTCATTGAGTACATTTTGATGCCAATACTTTTGTACTTTCCTGTCTGACAGGAAGCAACACGTGAGGCTGGGGAAACACGTCTCTAACCCCCGGGCTATCAGCACTGGTTCCCCTCAAGGCTGCGTTTTTCCCCCTCTGCTCTTCTCCCTGTACACCAACTGTGTTTACAGGTTCAATTCCAAAATTTATCAAAATCAGCCCGAAGGAGAGATATTGCCGTTATCTGGTTTAAACTGCAATTGTTGATCCTATTTCCGGGTTCAAAATGCTGGCAACTAGAATAAAATTTACTAAATTGCTACTGGAAAGACATTTACATATGCTCCTCTTAAAAGAAACGCAGAAATACTATGGGCATAGATATGTCTCATAATTATTTGTGTGAACATAACAATTATTTGTGTGTAAATATGTGATTTGGAAATGTAAAACACAATCCACAAATGCATTTAAAAGATTTGCAAACTCACAAATAAATTTGCAAATGTAAAACGGATCTGCAAATACGCTAAATATGTTCACAAATAAAAAAAAGATCTGTGAATATCTCTTTAACATTTACAACTTTCGATCAGGCATTTGTGAATCCATTTTGTATTTGTCGACCAAAAATGCGCTTGTGGATCTCAACTCTCTGCTCGTGGATCTCAAATGTCTGCTTGTGGATCGTCTTTTTACACACACGGAATTTTGAGACAAACTTTCCTCTGGTCTCAGCTCAAATCTACTCGTGTAACTCGGTTATTTTCGGAAACCACGTGATGGCCTGCTGATGACGACATTTCCGCATGATTTCAAAGTAAGAGCATGATGGCTTGTTTAATGCTCTGTTTTTTTATTATAATGAACAGCGAAACGTTAGATGCATTCTTTATCACCATCATCATCATCATGTTATGGTGATACAGTTAGTTTGTGTTAGTTTATTGGTTCAATACAGCATATATCGAGCACTTTCGTAGGCATTGATGTTGAAGTACAGGCTACGCCACTTCGGGTCCCGGGGGAGCAGCTGGCAGCGAAGCAGCCCAGAGGAAACTCTTTCTTCATTGTTTTTTGTGTATTCAGTCAAAGTTACAAAGCACTTCACATTTTATTAATCGGCCTAATTTTACCTTACCAGTGCAGTAATAAAGTAATCTGTAGAAAAGCACCGTATTTAGGTCAGCCTTCAAAGGCTACATTAAATGTTATAATATTCATCGTGTCCTTTCTACTGTATATGCATATATTCCTGTCTATTGCTTTCATTTGTATTTCATGTTATTATGTTTATACTTGTTTCCACACATTTCACAATTTGGGATGAATGAAGTATCTATCTATATATGATATCTATCTATCTATCTATCTGTCTGTCTGTCTGTTTGTTTATCTATCTATCTATCTATCTGTATGTCTGTCTATATCTATCTATCTATCTATCTGTCTGTCTGTCTGTGTACCTACCTACCTACCTACCTACCTACCTACCTACCTACCTACCTACCTACCTACCTACCTACCTACTTACCTACCTACCTACTAGTTGTTTTGTTTGGAAAGGTTGTCATTGTATTGCTCTTTACCAGCACCTGCAGAGTACAGGACTTTACATTGTAAATATTATATCAATCCTATAATATTGGTTTCTAGCATATATCATTTGCAAGTGTTTAAAACAAATGTGGGATACTGATTTCATAAAAAGAAAGACATTCATGATTGTGATATTTTATTATGTAGGATACAGGACTGGACTGTAGTCAAGTAAACTTACTTTACTTATTATTTCAGTGACCCAAATCGATCACTGTATGAAAACGACGCAGCGTTCTAAGCCCCGAGGGTACTACCGCCATCTACTGGCTGCAGTGTTTTTGTGTTATGCATTATTGCATGAGTAAAACTAGAACACTCAGTAGCTATAACCTATCAGCATTTGGTTAAATCAGATGAAAGAATATAATTACTTATATTTATATTGACTGTGCGTGGGCCTGGCAGTGGCAGATTCATTTCAGGCAAAAGTGTGCACAATCAACGGTAGGGCATGTATTTTAATTGTTTGAATAATTTATATGGTTATAAAATATAACATCGAAACACTGACGCAAAGAACACGTATTTAGAATGTGTAAGTAAGTTTACTTGACTACAGTCCAGTTCTGTATCCTACATAATAAAATATGACAATCGTGAATTTCTTTGTCAATTACTTTTATCAAATGAATATCCCACATTTGTTTTAAGCACTTTCAAATTATATGTTAGAAACAAATATTATAGGATTGATATAATATGTACAATGTATAAAGTCCTGTACTCTGCAGGTGCAGATAGATAGATATAGATATATATAGATAGATACAGACAGACAAGACAGACAGACAGATATCATAGATGGATAGATATAGACAGACAGACAGACAGACAGATGGATATCATAGATAGATAGATAGGTAGATAGACAGATAGACAGACAGACAGATGGATATCATAGATGGATATCATAGATAGATATCATAGATAGATAGATAGATAGATAGATAGATAGATAGATAGATAGATAGATAGATAGATAGATAGATAGATAGATAGATAGATAGATAGATAGATAGATAGATAGATAGATAGATAGATAGATAGATAGATAGATAGATAGATAGATAGATAGATAGATAGATAGATAGATAGATAGATAGACAGACAGACAGACAGACAGACAGACAGACAGACATCATAGATAGATACTTCATTCATCCCAAATTGTGAAATGTGTGGAAACAAGTATAAACATAATAACATGAAACACAAATGAAAGCAATAGACAGGAATATATGCATATACAGTAGAAAGGACACGATGAATATTATAACATTTAATGTAGCCTTACTATGAAGGCTGACCTAAATACGGTGCTTTTCTACAGATTACTTTATTACTGCACTGGTAAGGTAAAATTAGGCCGATTAATAAAATGTGAAGTGCTTTGTAACTTTGACTGAATACACAAAAAACAATGAAGAAATAATTATCTCTGGGCTGCTTCGCTGCCAGCTGCTCCCCCGGGACCCGAAGTGGCGTAGCCTGTACTTCAACATCAATGCCGACGAAAGTGCTCGATATATGCTGTATTGAACCAATAAACTAACACAAACTAACTGTATCACCATAACATGATGATGATGATGGTGATAAAGAATGCATCTAACGTTTCGCTGTTCATTATAATAAAAAAACAGAGCATTAAACAAGCCATCATGCTCTTACTTTGAAATCATGCGGAAATGTCGTCATCAGCAGGCCATCACGTGGTTTCCGAAAATAACCGAGTTACACGAGTAGATTTGAGCTGAGACCAGAGGAAAGTTTGTCTCAAAATTCCGTGTGTGTAAAAAGACGATCCACAAGCAGACATTTGAGATCCACGAGCGCATTTTTGGTCGACAAATACAAAATGGATTCACAAATGCCTGATCGAAAGTTGTAAATGTTAAAGAGATATTCACAGATCTTTTTTTTATTTGTGAACATATTTAGCGTATTTGCAGATCCGTTTTACATTTGCAAATTTATTTGTGAGTTTGCAAATCTTTTAAATGCATTTGTGGATTGTGTTTTACATTTCCAAATCACATATTTACATACAAATAATTTTTATGTTCACACAAATAATTATGAGACATATCTATGCCCATAAAATACAGACAACAGGCACATCTTTATAGAAAAGCACCCTGGTGTATAACAGCAGGTTACACCTTCAACTTGCATCCGCTTCCTCTTACCCCGTCCATCGTTGATGTCGCTCAAACTTCTTGCCTGGACTTCGGGGTTCTCCACTGTTTAATGTCATGTCAGGTTCCTGAGTCGGTTTAAATGTATTGTTAATGTCCCGATGTATTACTTTATTTGTTTTTGCCGGTACAGTAGCAGCGGAGTCAGATAAAAGCAACACTGCGTCCAGAGCGGCTGTCCATTATTCCAGGAAGTGTTTCTTATCACAATTATAACAATGATGACGTTGACTGTGAGAAGGGTCTAGCTGCGGCCGCGGCCAGTACACGACACTACACGACACGCCCACTACACGACACGCCCACCTGACACGACACTACGGTGGCTGAGAGACATTACCATACATGGCAGATTAAAAGCGAATTGACGACACTGACGCTGATGCAAGGATATTTAAAGAGACATGAGGTTCAGAGAACAGACAAACAATATGGCGCACCGAGTACAGGTAATTAACGTATTGTGGTTTTAGATATAATTACATACTATTTAGGTTCTCGTTTGTTTGTCGATGTGGCTGTTTAGCGCAGTGTAATTGTGTTTATTTAGCTAATTTGTATTTTAAATATTAAATGTAAAGGAATGGAATACATATAAATATATATATATCTTAGCTCTTAGCTTGACATGCTCGACGTTCAGTTAGCATATATGCTAACTGAACATGCTCGTTCAGTTAGCATGTCAAGCTAAGAGCTAAGATATATGTATATATTTTAGCTTGACAGATGGAACAATGCATGTACTCGCATTTTTACAAGAATCTGATTTTAAATATTCATTGAAGGTGTCTTTCACATTTGAATGTTTTAAAAAAAAAACATGTATTAGCTGCTATACTGACATGCACATATGTATAATTATATTATTATTTTAAGTGTGGTTTAAAGTTAAATGATATATAGTTATTGGGTAGAGCCAAGTAACCCAGGTGGATGCAATCAGGCCTCTGTTTTTAGATGGGGTTTGTGGCCATGCTGTAGGCCTGACATTTAAACCATAGACCGTATATATAAAGATTTAAACTAGCTGAAGGGCTTTCTGTTCGAACCACAGTGACATCTAGAGGTTGTTTTGTGCATAACATGTCAACCAAAAAGGTAGAGCTGGCTGAATCAGATGGAGTTAAACTTTTTTTTTTTTCAACAAGATATCAAGACACAAAATGTGCTCTACCAAATGGTGGCGCTGGCAGTTAAAGGGTTACCTTCTGAAAGTGAGGAAGTATGACCAGCTTTGTCCCATAGGATTATACAGGCCAGTCCATTGCTGCTTGTTTAAGGAGTTAACTATTTCCAATATTAAAGTCACTGAAATTGTATTCTATTTTATTCACCTATAGACAAACAACACAACACTCCGTGATGGAGCACGCCCAGAGCTCAACAAATTGGACTCGGACACAATGAAACACTGGCTTGCTTGTATCAAATCAATACAATTCCCACATGCCCTACCCCGGAACCTGCGGTCTTCAGACTCTGGCCCCCCGCACCAACCTGCGATCCTTCGGGGACAGAGCCTTCAGTATGGCAGCCCCCACTCTCTGGAACGCTCTCCGTGCGGAGATCTGCAACATCCCCACGCTTGACGCCTTCAAAAGGGCCCTCAAGTCTGCCAAGGTCTTTGGCCCCAAATCTATTTGTGTTGTCTGTCTAACTGTTCGTCTAACTGCCTTTTGTTATGTTTGTTTCTACTCCTGTTCTTTTTAAAGCGACCTTGGGTCTCATGAAAGGCGCTATATAAATCCAAGTTATTATTAATACATCATTGGAACGGTAAGAATCTCAGCTACAACACTGACTAAAGCCTTCCCATCTCCAGTATGCCTACATGACAAGCATTTTTATAATATACAGTAAACATATCTTTGACTTATTAGAGAAGAGACAATCATCAAGCCAGATACCAAGGTATTTACAACAGGCAACCACTTCAATTACTTTTCCTTTATGTTATTGTTATTTGGTTTTTATTAGTGCTTTTGTCGTTTTGAAGGAAATTAAAATACTGTATTGAGTTGGTTTCTTCTGTTTTGGAAGCCTTGTATATCTTTTTGGTCTTGTTAGAAATACCCCATGGTAAAACAGTGTTCTAGCAGCAGTTAAAGAAGCTTAGTTTGCTGTCTTAGACTGCCAGTTGTATTAAGATGGTTTGTTCACAATTTACATATAAAACCTAAATGTTCATCTGTTTATTGTTCTTCTTTCTTTATATTCAAAGCATGTTGATTGTCTATTGGCTATATCTTGACATTATGTTAATTTGATCATACTTGCCATACATTTATTTTAATTTATGCGATTCCTTCAAAGGTTTTGTAATAGACCCCTAGTACTTTTAATTTATAAAGTAATAATACATGTGAATGATTGAGCTCATTAGTGGCCTGACTGGCCCTCCTAATTTGTTCCTTAATGACCCCATGATGTGATAATGTATATCTTAAAACCTTTAACAACTATATTTAGATGTTCACAAATATCTACATTTATGTATAAAATACATGTGTAGCAGTTAGACAAACATAATCAATAGATCATCTCATTAATACCTATTTTATATATTAAAAAAAAGTTGACTAAACCACCGTTTGTTGACAAAATGATTTGGGTTGAAAGTTATACTGTTGTGTCTCAAACGGATAGACTAGGTTATTAATTTATTTGCCTAATAGTTGCTTAAAATGCTACAATAACATTTGCAATTCGTTTTTAATCTGCCATGTACGATCTCAATAATAATAAGTGTCGTCAATTCGCTTTTAATCTGCCATGTACGGTAATGTCTCTCAGCCACCGTAGTGTCGTGTCAGGTGGGCGTGTCGTGTAGTGGGCGTGTCGTGTAGTGTCGTGTACTGTCCGTGGCCGCAGCTAGACCATATTGTTGACTGTTGAGCCTGGGAGCATCATGTGACTCATTCAGGGTGGGGTTACAGATCCTATACTATTAATAACGAGACTTGGCAGGAAAAACTAACCTGATTACTTGATGTTACTTTCAATGACCTCAATATCAAATGTAATGCAAACAACTAAATGAGAAAAATAAATATCACTAAGATGTTTTATACTTATGAGCAATAACATGTAAATATTTTTGCAAAAATGTATTGATTGCTATTCTCTACATTGCACCCATATAACTCTATTATTTTTTACATTTAAGGGTTCAGTGTATTATGTTAAGACAACAATGTGACCTCAGAAAAGAACAAACCAAGATATTTTATTGATAGGAAAACCTGCCTTTCATTAAGCATATTCAGGCAGTAGCCTATAGGCCTACACCAACAATGAAACACATGTTTAAAAAAAGCAGAAATAAAATCTGAGCTGACAGGAAATGCTCTTTTTTTAACACACACAGTCAAGCTCACACATACTATTTTATGAACATAGGTTCAACTGTGGAATAAAAAAAAGAACAAATGAACCAAAGAAAGTGAAAACCATAAAGCAGATTCAGGCACCCTGCTGAAAAAAACAGCTTAGACCAACAAAGCTGGTCTGGCTGGTCAGGCTGGTAAACCAGCCTGACCAGCCAGTCAATATTAGGCTGGATTAGTTTGCTGGTTAAGAGGGGTTTTGGACACTTTAGCTGGTCAGGATAGCTGGTTTGGTCACAGTGGTCTAGCTGGTCACCATTAGCTGGTCGGGATAGCTGGTTTAGCTGGTAAAAGCTGGTGGTCACAGTGGTCTAGCTGGTCAGGATAGCTGGTTTGGTCACAGTGGTCTAGCTGGTTACCATTAGCTGGTCGGGATAGCTGGTTTAGCTGGTAAAAGCTGGTGGTCACAGTGGTCTAGCTGGTCAGGATAGCTGGTTTGGTCACAGTGGTCTAGCTGGTTACCATTAGCTGGTCGGGATAGCTGGTTTAGCTGGTAAAAGCTGGTGGTCACAGTGTTCTAGCTGTTCACCATTAGCTGGTCCGACTGGTATGATCTTGAGTAGAACTTTAACTGGGATTACTTGATGGTTAAGCTGGTCATATATGATGATGAAACACTCTCACCCAATTGCAGTAGCTCAATGAACATCTATCATTTCAGATCAGAGCACCTACCTTACCAGAAAGGTACCAGAATGTATAGAATGTCTGTAAATAAATACTCATACATCAAATGATTAGAAGCAGGAAAATAATTTATAACACACAATGAACATTAACACACATTTGAAAACATTTTCAAAACACCCATTACTTCATATTTTTAAGCAGTTTCCTTCAATTGTTTCTTTCCGTTTTTCACAAGGTCCTGTATTTTTTGTGAAATGTAGTAACCGGCCAACTTCTCCCTCTCGGTCTTCTCCACGTTTTGTGAATTCAGCCATCCTCTGAAGCACTCTTGAAAAGAGAAAGGAAAAACAGATTACATTTTAGCTTTGTGTTATGATTACTTAAATATGTGCACTGTGAGATGAAAAAGAAAAATGTATCAAGTTTAGTTTTGAACATTCACTGTGATTGGGTCTATTGTCCACGCAATACACCGTATTTGATTTTTTATTTAATATTCTGTTCTTGTAAATATCATATTCTATTATATTACATGTAAATAAACTTTTTGCACTACTTTTTAATTTGTATTTTTGTATTTTATTATATATGTTGCATTGTTGGAGGAGCTCAGGTCAGAAGAATTTAATTGACATTTCTACACTGTAGCTGCTGAGCATATGATGATAAAACCTTTGAATCTTGAATCCAACACTTTTTTCAGTGGAAAATCCTAAATTGTAGGATAGTTTGGCCGTAATAATGCTTTATGATTACATTTCTAGTGAGAAGTCTATATTTTACTTTCAGAATCTACCTCCAGTGGATGTGTAGGATCTACAGTATGATAGATATATTACTTTACACCCGGAAGTATGTGTTGTCATTCTTATTGTCGATAAATTGAGGGATATACGCTATATTTTATTAACACCAGTATGTACTTTATACATCCACCTCGAGTGTTTGTCTCTGCACCGGAAATAATTAAATTTTAAAGTTCAACCGCATATTATATAAAGCGCCACAAATGATTATAGGAATGTTAAGAGACAAAGAAATGCTAAACATTCTGAGAGGCCGACTACAAAAGCTAGACTCAATGGCTCTTGATGACATCAATGAGCAGTCCCAATAGATGCTGTTGTATAAAAAGAAATAGAATAGGTCCAGATTTCTTCTATTTTGTGTTGGATGATTTGTTTTATTGATTGCTGATGGATGTATATATATAGGGTTTATTC